CTTGAGCAATCTTTTGGATCATGCTCATCATGCTATCGACCTTAGCAGCCATGGCCGACATTTGATCAACTTCGTACATGCCTCCAATTTTTGGTTGAGCGGATGGACGATCAGAGTACCAGGTGGACCCGTTTGTTGAGATCCGCTCTATGAGTTCTTCAGCTTCGTCAAGTTCAAGGCTCATGAATGATCCGCCCGCTGAGGCATCCAACAATATCCGTGAGTTTTCATTTAGGCCTTCATAGAAAGCCGTCATTAAGTGCCAGGACTGGATATTGTGATGTGGGCATTGCCTTTGAAGATCTTTGAATCTCTCCCAAGCCTCGTAAAGGGGCTCGTTTGGATTTTGCTTGAAATTTTGGATCATTCTCCTGATCTTTGCGGTTTTGGAAGGCGGAAAGAATCGCTTGAGAAATTCACCGTGAAGCTGGTCCCAAGTTGTGAAGTGATTGTCTGGAAATGAATCCAGCCAGCTTTGAGCTTTGTCCCTTAGAGAGAATGGGAGCAGACGGAGCCTGATTGCATCAGTTGGCACACCATTGATTTTGAACGTATTGCACGCTCGGAGGAATTTGGTGATATGGTTGTGTGGGTCCTCCGTTGGTCCTCCACCAGACTGATCAGATGAGACCATGTGGATGACAGCAGGTTTGATTTCAAAGTTGTTTGCTGTGACATCCGGCGGAATAATGCTGTTGTGTTCCGCCACAGGAGGAGTGACATAGTCAGAAAGAGTCCTCCTGTTCGGAACTTCATTTTGTCTTCTCTGAATTTCCTGCACATTTTCACGAACATCGTTCCGTGAGACTTCCATTTTCTTTCTTTTTCTTATTTCTTTCAAATGTTTCTCAATTTCTGGAAAGAAAAATTTTTCTTGATTAATCCCACGTGAACGCGTTAGCATAAAAAGAAGGGAATTGGGGAGGGTTGAAGAGAGAGAGGGGAAGGGAAAGGGAAATAGAAGGTAAATAAAAGGGGGGGGGAAAGAAAAAAAAATGAAAAGGGAAGGGAGAAAGGAAAAGAGAAAAATGTAATGTGCAAAAATTAATAAAAATGTTCTCACTTAAGTCAAGAGGTAAAAACCACCGAGACAAGTGATACCTTAGTTAGTAGTTAGCGGTTAGAGTGCCAAGCGGTAATAAACCAACGAGGACACTAAAAAAAATAAAAAGAGTTAGCAATGGTATATAGATATATAATATATATAATATACAATACATAATATATAATATGTAATATATAATATATAATATGTATAATATATATAGTATATATAATATATATAATATATATAATATATATTAGATATAATATATAATATATAGATATATGTCCAATAGCGGCTTTACACGCCTGGAAAGAAAGAAAAAAAATGCAGAAATGTAAAGTGCAATAATTTAATGTCCAAACCCTGTGACGGCTTTGCCGGTCAGCGGGAAAAATAAAGAAGAAAAAAAACAATGTCCAATCTCTGGTGGCGGAAAATCCGACCTATGGGATAGTTCAATATGTCCAAATCCAATAGGTGTTCAAGAAGAAAGGGACTCAAAGGATTTTTTTTTTAGTATTTTTTTTTTCAGTTTTTTTTTTAGTTTTTTTTTGGTTTTTCTTTTTTGTGTTTTTTTTTGTTTTGTTTTGTTTTGTTTTTTTAGTACCTGCAAGAAGAGGTTAGGAAAACAAACTAATAACAAATATTTACAACAAATAAACAATAAAACTTATGTTTAAAATTAAAAAAAAAACTCAAACCGTCTCCCCGGCAACGGCGCCAAGTTGATTTGCAGTATAGAACGGGCAAAAATAACAACTAAAAAGAATCCCTTGTAAGTAGGGTGTCGAACCTCAGAGAGACGCGAGTTAATTTAATTTAAACAAAAGTTCACAAAAGAAGTTGTAAAAGAGAGTTCCAAACAACACAAAGTTTTTGATGTTGAAAAGTTAGGGGTAGAAATTGGTAAATTAATTGTCCAATGTTTTTATAAAAGTTGGATTGTCAATTTATTTTTATATAGAATGTGTGGAGTTGCAGAAAAGTATTCAGGGACGCTCTCGCAGTTCACCTAAATAATAACTACTCCGACTTTAACACGCTAATGATAAATCCGGAGTAATTATTTAGTAGCAACGGCAACCATAATTATTTTATTGTATGTTTACCCAATTTAATGGTGTAAGAATACAACTCAATAATTATTTCCACCCGTAAGTCTTCAATTCCGGTTAAAGGTAGAGAAGGCTTACGGTGTATTTAAAAAGTGTTCTATTTTATGATTATATCAATTTTAGCTCATATTCCTTGTAACAATTATGTTTATGATTGGGCCCTTAATTAAAAATCACAAACATTTCAAATTTATTTATTTTTAAATACAACATCTAAGTAAAACTAAAATCAACAATCCATGTTTAAAAT